GGTGCAGGCTCCTACCCTGGGGGGTTTTAAGAGGAGGTTAGATGAACACCTTGCTGGGGTTGTTTGACCCCAGTACTCTTTTCTGCCATGGCAGGGGGTCGGACTAGATGATCTGCTCAGGTCCCTTCTGACCCTAGAAACTATGAAGCTATAAAACTATGAAACTATGAATAGTAAGGCTTCTTCCAGAAACATTTGGTTTTTGAATAAGGATCTGACTACCAAATAGATTGCTCTAGCAATTCATAGCATTATAGAATAGTGAGGTTGAAAAGGACCACAGAAGGTCATCTGGTAGTCCACCTCCCACTCAAATCAGGATTGCCCTGAGCAGCTAGGCTGAATTTCTGATCTGACAAAATGTCCGTATTTTTATGGTCATTCATCTTTGATCTGGTTCTTCCTGGGTCATCCTCAGTTTGGTCATGTACAACATCAGTATCCCATTGCCTAATAAAACCTGTATATACTGCTCCAGATGGCAAGGAACACAGGCACTGAGGAGATCTGCAAGTGGCAAAGATTTGAAACTTGACAACAGCAAATTCCATCTCCCACTTGCATTTTGCTGTAAAAAGAAAGCAGTCTCACCTGCTCTCAAGTGTTTGCTTCCATTGGGCTAAATCTATTATCAGTGTCTACCTGGAAGAATAAATTATGGAGTCACATGTAATACATGAGGATGTATTACAGCAGCCTCTCATTTATAATGCATTGAAGCCAGAAAGCACGTCACTGCTGCTACTGCTGCAACAGTACACCAGAGTGCTACTGTTCTTCTGCACTTGCACCCTGTAACAATTTTCACCTGAGGATCAGAAAGCACTATGCAAAGTTGAACCAGCTAAACTTCTCAACATGCTTCTAGAGAGGCTGAACAATCCTTCATAATTCAAAGGTGTAATCCGAGGCACAAAGAGCAATCATGCAAGAGTCAAAAGCTGTAACTGAAGAAGCATAAAGTAAGGATATTCTTTCATTTGACTTCTATTTAGCAGTCCAGATAAAACTCCAGCTGAAGTCAACAGGAAGACTAGTCCTTAACTTCCCAAATTCTGTCTCTCTCAATCCCTTCCTTTATATATATGAATCTTCCATTTTCCTAAATATGTTAGTAAATAGTAGTGCTGTGCAAAGCTTCAGTCGCTGATTCGATTCGGTGGCGATTCGGCCCTACTCAGTGGCAGAATCTCTGAATCTCAATCAAATCAGGAGATCCATTCTGGTCCACTTCCGGGTCTGCTGGGGGGCACACTGGGAGCCCCCACACACCCCGCTGGCTCGGCATCTGGTGCCTCCTGGGTATAGTACTTCCGGTCCACTTCCAGGTCCACTGCCGAGTGTGCGGGTGGCCCTCCCATGCTTCCGGGGGATGCTCCATCTCCCCCAACATCTCAGCATTCACAAGCCATGCCTGGTATGTCGAGGTATGTAGAAGAAACATATAAAGCTGTGTCTATGTCCGAATCGCTGATTCTCCGAATCGGAATCAAATCCTCAGATTTGGATTCAGGCAAATCGAATTGGGACAGTGATCCAAATCAGCTAATTGAATCACTGCCCCCTGAATCAGGCTGAATCCAAATCAAATACAGCCACCCCTAGTAAATAGGTATGCTGGCAAAAGGGGGCACTGTAAAAAGTTAATGAGCTTTGCTTCCCATGGGCCCAGTCCTGCAGCATGTGTTTTTTGGAGGCCATAGGTCCTAATATTGTGGGAGATTAACTTTACCAATTGAAAGGTCTGTTGGCTCCCACAAAGACTAAAAGACCTTGTTTTCCATTCCTACCCCTTCCTTTTAAAAATTGGCAAGAGTTAAACTTCATATACTGAGTTAAATTTAAATTACGTTAGCCTGACAGCACCAACACAATAGCATTTGGAAGACATGGTCAGTTTGAATTCAAGCAAATGGTTTAAAATGGTTTCAGCTCTCCACCTGCCCTTGAGCATCCATCTCAATTTTGTGGTTTTACATTTTTCATGGTTTTTAAATGTTTTTCTTAATCCTCTTGCTTTGTGAAAGACTCAAACAAAACAGCAAATGAAACTATTTATGTGACATAGCAATTGACCATAAGCAAAGTGCTGTCAGCTGTACTAAGTAAACTATTCTTTTTTTTTTAAGAAGAAAAAATTTCTACAAACCACTTTTGAAAATCCCTCACAGTTATACAAGTACCACAGTATACAGAACCACTTATTTTGGACCTATTAACCCCTCCCTGGTCATCTGTGGCTTTTTGGATGATTGACCCTGGAAAACCCTTGGTAGATGTGCACACAGGCCATAGCAAAAGCTTTTCTGCAGCAAGAGGCTGCTGCAGATCTGGAGATTCTACCTCACTTCCTCATTTTTTCCATAAAAAATGAGTTGTAAAAGGTCCTAAAAGTTTCCAAGCCGTTAAAACTGGATTTGTACAGAATGGTGTCTCCATACTGAACAAAACATTTTGTTGTAATTTTTGAAGTGTGGGAATATTAACAAAAATTATCATGCAGCTTCATCCTCTATGCCAAAGATGACTCTGAATTAGCACTTAGATATTGAGAGAGACCCATATGCCCCCTATCTGCACAGAGGCAAAGTTCATTCAAAGGATTATTGTCACTGAATTTTATCTCTTAGTGTCTTTTGAAAAATAATTTAATGCTTTGCCTATTAGCTGATAATAAATGTATAGTTAATTGCTGTTTCTGACTTGCTGTGGAAATGTAATGCTCCCCTATTATTGAAAGGCCTGGAAGCTGCGCACATGCCACAGCCAGGGGAAGGCTGTACACAGGGAGAAGAACAACAGTGGTAAGGGTGCAGCTGGAAATTGCCTGGCCCTGGCACTGCTCTTTGCTTCTTAGTGCTGGCAAGTGGGCATAGGCAAACTTCTCAGGCTCTACAGCTCAGATCTAGTGGCTCTATGGGCCATATGTTGCCAACCCCTGCCCTAGGTAACTGATAGTTTTTCTACAGTAAGAGTCAAAGGCCCACTGGTCTGTGAATTTCATACGTGTCTAACATCTTAACCTTAAATAATTAGGTTAGTCTATACTTTTGCTTCATGATTAAGCAAGAAAGAAAACTAACTCAGTCTTCTTAGACTTCTGAAAAAATATTTTTGAGCTCATGATATAAACTGTTTACCATTCACTTAAAATTAGAGCCAGCCAAGTTACAGGGTGGCCAAAGCCAGTGACTGAAGGCAATTAATTTGACCTTTATATATTTTTAAGAAATCGGGTAACATGGCAAATACATATTTAATTGTATCGTAATCAGTTATTTTTTATTTCAGGGTCCTTGCAGGTGATGAACAAAACTAGAAGGATCATGGAAAATGGAGGGGCCACTTTCATCAATGCCTTTGTAACCACCCCAATGTGCTGCCCATCTCGATCCTCCATGCTAACAGGGAAATATGTTCACAATCACAACATATATACCAACAATGAAAACTGCTCTTCTCCTTCCTGGCAGGCAACACATGAACCACGTACTTTTGCAGTGTATCTCAACAACACTGGGTATAGGACAGGTAAGAAACAAATCCAGTGTACAGTAGATTTTTATTAAAAAACAAAAAGATGGTGGATATTAGGGGTGTATTCAGTAATTGGTTTTAAATTTCTGCCTAAAATGATGCAAATGTGGTCTTGGATTAGGTTTAAAGAGCAAAGCATTGTGTCAATATTATGGCAGGGAAAATGTGTGTCAGGCTGGAGTGTGGCACTGCTTACTTGTGATGGCTTGCCTAGCCTTACCACCAACATACTAAATAAGGAAATGTACTTATAGTGACCAGCATATTTTCATGTCTGGATGTCTCAAGTAGGGAATAGACTGTGGAACAGTTGCACCTGAGGAGTGAGAAGTACATTTTCATGGCATTGTGGTGTTCAGCTGACAGCCCTGGCTGTGACTGTGGTTAGTATTATGGCCTGCTTGTGGAGAAGTCACTAACATATATAGAGAAAGATGTTAGGGAAATGGTGCCAAAGACCTCAGAGGAATGAAGTACCTACAGAGGGAATGAAACAAGGTAAAGACTATGATATGCCTTTAATTTGGGGCGATATTCATTTGCATTTTCTGAAACTGAACTATGTATTTAAGCAAAATTGTTCTGCTGAACAACATCATAAGTTGGTAGTTTTCTTGTAAATTCCTGGTGGTTTTCTGTGGTCGAGAGATCCCTTCTCTATCTACAAAGAACTCTTCTCATTCCCTTCGGCTGAGCTTCAGCTTGACGTAAAGCCTCCAGTTCATATATGTTTCACTTATCCCCTTAAGAATAAACCTGTACAAACTTTAGACTCCAGTCTGACTCTTTTGCAAAGGTATAAAGGCTGTACAAGGTCATCAGGATGCAGATTATCCAGTAGTATCATTTGACTGCAAAGACTCTTCTTTACAGAACCAAAGAGGCACAAGTCCTAGTGCCAGCTGGGTTCTTTACAAAGTTTGGTGGCAAACAAGTTTGTCTCCATCAGTGTGTAAGGCATGGGAACAGACTGCTTTGAAAATGTATAATGGCTGTATGTCTCCATGCTGTCTGCTTGGACCAATGATTTTAATTCAGCTGTATCCTAAAACTATCTGCCTCTGCACAACAGTCTCTCACAAGCCTTCAGAGTGACTGAATCATGTTTAAACCACAAAACAAAACAAGCACTTATTTTCTTGGGGCTCAATCTTGGCACTGTCAGTCATCCCGAATATTACTTTACTCTGAGTATATCGATGATTTCAGTGGGATTATTGGTGGAGTAAAGTACTATTTATGAGTAAGGGTGGTAGGATCAGGCTCTTTGGTCTTTACTCGGTAATGCTGATTTCAGTTTCCAGTGTAATTAGAAATATTTCCAGATTGTTGGGTTGGTGCTCCCAATCAGATTTGTATTCCAAGTCTTTCTCACATCCACCTGGAAGTTGTCAAATATGTTAGAGCATTTACTCTCTTCCTAACATAGGGTTTTGTAAAGCCAACACCTACTAATGTACTGGAACCTCCTATGTTAATTTTATTGTAGTAGTGGATTTTTTCTGGGCCTCCTCCCTGTCTAGATGACATGTATATCATCTGAGCCATGGGAAGTGTCAAAGAAGAATAGGGCAAGAGAAAATTGAGAGGAAAGTCCCACAGAGAGCAAGCACCACATGGCCATTAGTTTTAGGAAATTGTCAGGAAAATGAGGTTTTAGGTGGGAACTGTCTCAGAGGAGTTAAGAACAACATGAAATAAGTGAAATACTTCCAGAAGCATACGCTGTTTGCCTTTACAAGTATCTGCATTGGGATGGACCATCAGCCTCAGAGTTCACTCAGTCCGTTGTCTTTTCAGATAAGGGCTCCCTTCCAATTATCCCTCAGTTAAGCTTACAGTTGACAGCTTAATTAAAATCAGGCTTTAAAGTATCTTCACCATTGTGCAAGCACACTGTTACTTTATTAGAAAATTATGAGAAGCCCTGCACAGGTTCCAGTTAGTAGGAAATCTACACTCTCTTGCTTATATACTGCCTTTAATTACCAGGTCCTCAAATATTCCCTGGGTCTTCAAATATTGATAAATCATCAACATTCATAAATCATCGTCTTTCTTTAATCTACTCCAATCTTAACTCTGTGCCTAATCCTTCAAATGATAGCCTCAGGGGCAGACTGCTATCCTGGAATAGAGCCCCATTGAAATCACTGGGGCCCTGTACAAGTGCGTCGTCCATTTCTATACTGGTAATTGGAGGGCTGGGGTCTGAAATGTACAGCTATGAATTGCTGTCATAGTTTGAGTTTATTGGGAGGGAAAATGTCATAATACAAAATGAAATTTGCCTTTTTTTTAATCTGCTCCGTTTATCTACTAATACAGGAGACGATGCTACATTGCACAGGGACCTCAGACCGTGCATATAATACACCACTGTTCAATAATAGCCAGGAACTGTGCTGTGCAGAATTGGGGAAATCCGTGTTCAGAATCATTCTGACTTTTAACTAAATAAAAAAATTAAAGATTTCATATTATCCAATAGCACTTTTTAAATGATCTGAAAATTAATGCAGCCATGAACCAGGCGCAATACAGATTCCTGATTTAAAAAAAAAACATAGGAACCTGTGGATATTAAAACAAAAATTGTTAACAGTGAGAAATGGCAGGGGACAGTGTGTGAGGTATGTGGGGAGATGAAACTAACTATAGAGAAATGAAGAAGAATAACACATTTGTTTTTACTTTATCAAATCCATCTGTTCAGACGGGGTGAATAGTATATTCTGAAAAAATAAACCTTTAGAGAAAATCAGGAGAAAAACCTTCAAAATCTTTTAGCCATGTGGTTTCTGATGTCAAAATAATTTCTTCAAGGCATTTAGATCCTTGTATTTTATGTATAGGATTTCTTGGTCTTGTTTAATGCTTTCCCATTGGTCTGTTGCTTTCCTGTTCTTTCATCAGCTGTAGTATTGCTGTTGTTTTTACACAACTGTATTTCACCATTTTCCATGTCCCAGTCTCCAAACATGGAGGCTAAAGCCTCTCTTTTCTCCAATATCTGCTCTCTAGTTCTCTAAATATATTCTTAACTTGTCCTGAGCTCCCAAAAACTCTATCCTGATTTTCACCACAAGAAATATATATGAAATATAAGTCTCTATATACCCTGATATAACTTAAGACTATGTGTGTACATTAAATTTTAGCACTATATTTACCCTTGTAGTAACAGAAAACCTCTACAGAGTGTCTCTCAGACCCCCAACATCCCACAATACTCTTTGCTTCCTCTCCACCCTTCTGGGAGAAAAAAAACCCAGTATAGCTCTGCCTTTCAGAAGGTAGAGAATGGCACTTGCAAAAGGTACTGTTTATTAGTAGCGAGTGTAACTAGGCAGTAGATAGTTTGAGAGAACCATAATATGAGCATAGCAGATATTTAGCAAATGTCACTGCTGCTTTTAATAGTATTTTATTTCTATTCTATAGGATTTTACATTTTCAACAGTTAAAGTTTCATTAAAGTGCAGTTTAGTTTGAAAAGGAATTGTAAAATTGGTACCCTTTACTCATCGGATTTGATTTTTATATATACTCTGAGTCGTACCTGTTTAATGTTGCTGTATATTAGTGTTGGCTCCTTGTAGCCCTGCATAGTCAATACAGCTATGAGAAAGGGAGCTAAAATCTGTCTGGCTCAAGCACCATGAACAAAACCGATAAGTTTTATGTTCCAGTAAGTTTTACATTCCAGGTTTAGGGATGGATATTGCCCTTACTTTTGTATTTGAATAAAATCACCAAAAGAATCACTTAGACTTTTTTTTATATGGTTGACTTTGGGAAGACTTGATGTCCAATTTTGTATTCACAAGTATAAGCTGATCAAAATATTTTAGATTCATGCATTTCAGTGTTCCTGGAGAAACTAATTGTAATTCTTATCTGTTCATGGAACAGAAATAATACCATAAAAATGAAAGTGCCATAATGGGACAGATCAATGGTCCATCTAGCTCAGTGGTCTCCAACATTTTTATGGTGAAGATCACTTTTTGTAAGTAAAGAGCCCCCTGCCCCACCCCACCCCACTCTGCCTCTGTGCCTCCTGGACAAGCTGCCCAGGCTCTGCCGCCACTTACCCATCCCAGCTTGAGTGGTAGGGAGTGTGGATCAGCCCAAGCTAGCCACATGCATCCTACTTCTCCCGATCGTGGAACCTCTGACAGACTGAGATCGACTGTCAGAGGCTCCATGATCGACTAGTCGATTGAGATGGACTGGCTGGTGATCACTGACAAATTAGCATTGTGTACCTTTAACAATGGAGTGGGGCTTGTAGTTTTCTGAGGGGCCTACACCAGGGGTGGGCAAAATACGGCACAAGGCCATTCTATCTGGCCTGTGAGGCCCCTAAACATTTTTGAAAATTAATATATTTATCTGTCCTTGGTTCCTGTCAAAAATGACAGAAACCAGTGGCAGTAGGACCCAGGGGAAGCCCGGTGGGCTCCCACAACAGCAGGGCCTGCCCAGCCCCACCCACCCAGCCAGAAACCCCAGCAGGGACCATGTGACTGCACTGCACCGGAACCTCAGGTAAGGGGTGGGTGTGGGCTGCAAGTGGCTGCAGCAGGGAGTGCCAGCCATGAGGTGGGCGAGGGGCCGCTTTTCCCCACACTCAGCACAAATTCATTCCCCTGCTGGGGAGCAGGGAGTCTGGGCTGCATGCTGCCCCCTGCCCATACTGCAGGGCTGGGGGGTACTGGGAGTGAGTGGGTCCACGGGGCCCACACCAGTGTCCCAGCGCCAGTACCAGCACCAGCACCAGTTGGGGCCAGAGCAAGGCAGTAGGACTACAGAGTTCCAGCTGGCAGGGGCTCTATGGAGCCAAGCTAG